ACCCAAGGAAGGAAAGATAAGGCACTTCTTAAGCATCACCAGGCATCAACACAACCCTGAACAGGAGGACAATGTCCCCATTTGGCAGATACGGAACCTAAAAACTGCAAGTTCGCACAGCTAGTTAGAACTGGAATTTCAAAGACTGCTTTTAAGTAGCTTCTCAGAGAAAGGAACGGTAGCTAGGAGTGTCTCATACTCAATGTCCTCTTTTTTGTTGTTTTCTACCATCAGCTAGCCTTCCACCATCTCTTTTACTTGGGATTGTTGGCAAACTGCATCAAAACCTATAAACTTGACAGGATTTGTTGTGTTCTGGAGACAGTTCTGCTTAGATACCCCTTGGTAGTAAACTCGGGCAGGATCCTGGGACTTGCACATCAGTCTGCAGGGGTCTTTTTGAGTGGTACCTAGAGACCAACAGAAAGTAAAATTCCAAGTGAACATACTTTGCTGCTTGTCCTTTTCCCAGATAAGGAAACCCATAATGTGTTGGCAAAACAGTTATAAAAAAAAATCTATTTGAGATCCCGAATGCTGTGTTCTGCCTTAAGTCTTGATTAATCTCTGCTTCTGTGCTACTTCCTGAGAGGCCTCTAGTGGAGAGTACACCATTTCTAACGGTGAGGCTCCACAGATTGGGAGGATAAAGGGAGGTGGCAGGGAGAGCCCCAAGTGGTGGACATGAAAGGGGTAACTGTATAGTTCCGTGTCTTTGAGGCTTTCTTGCAAAACCTCCAATTCTCAACACATCCATCACTTGGCACTGTCAACTTGTAGAGCTCCTTGCATTTTGAGATTTTGCTCAAGAAAGAGGTTGTCTGTGAATTTGCCTGGATTAGATCATGGCTCAGTCCGAGCAGTTCAGAAATATAAATTTAAATTTAATAACATAGCTGTCCCTTCACCTTCCAGATGTCACCTCTTTTATCCACCATTTTCAGCAAAAAGACAAAACTGGAGCAGGCAGTTTCAGAACACACAGCATTCTCAGTTGTGCTGGGTGTCAACATAAGTGAGAGTCCGCTTCAGATGGGACGGCCTCTAACACCTGCAGGCTGCAGTCACTCAGCTCTGTGATTAAGAAAAAGCAGCTGGCTTTGAGGTTGTGGAGAGGGATTCGCAGCAGCAGTGGGAGCAGAAGCCAAATGTGCATCAGAAAAGGACTAAATGGGAAGTGGGAAATCTGAAGAAAGTGGTTTTGTTGTTGTTTTTAATGGACAGGAAAGAAAACGGAAGCTCACGGTTGAAAGTGGGTTTGGGGTGAAGAGCGGTGTAGGTTTACAGGCTGACAGGAAGGCAGCAGTGGGAAGGAGATCTTGCAGACTGGAAAGCTGGAGGTGTTACCCTTGGAAGGAGGTCAAGACTCCTTTGTGGGAGAGAAAAGGAGGGAAATTCGATGTGTTGAAGGGAAGCTGATTGGTGCGGGCAAGAGGCTGAGGGGGACTGCGGGTAGACCACGGGATCATGTAATGGCCGCAGAGGCTGAAAAGATGTGGAGCTGTAGACTCCAATGCTGTACACCTGCATCTTTCATATTCTCTGAACCAGAAATAACAGTGACAGTCTGTGTATAGCTCAGAAAGCATTTTCATGTTACTTAGCAACATGATGCATCCACTTCAATGATATTTACTAATAGTTTTAAATAAGCAGACTTAAGCCCAGGGTGACTGTGATTTGCTTAGATGTCTTACACCTCGCAAATAATTGTCACATATGGTTTTAATTAAGGAGCTTTTAAAATTTTTATGCATTTATTTAAAAGGCAGAATTACAGAGGTAACAGGAGACGGCTTCCATCCACTGGTTCACTCCCTAAATGGGTACAATGGCAGGGGCTGGGCCAGGCCAAGGCCAGGAGCTTACTGGGTCTTCCAAGTGGATGGCAGGAGTCTAAGTACTTGGGCCATCTTTCACTGCTTTCCTAGGTCCATTAGCAGGGAGCTGGCCTAGAAATGGAGCAGCCAGGGTTCCAACTGGCAGCTTAACCCATTGCATCACAGTGCTAGCCCCCAGGAGACTTTAACTCCTTTTAAAGTATTTTTTTGGCCTGGAGCAGGTCGATGTGGGCATCCCATAAGGATGCTGGTTCGAGTCCTATCTGCCCCACTTCCTGTCCAACTCCCTGATGATGTGGCTAGGAAAGCTCCTGGCTTCTACCTGGGTCAGTCCTGGCCATTGGCAGCCATCTGGGGAGTGACCTAGTGGGTGGAAGCTTTTTCTGTCTTATCCTCTCTCTCTGTATAATGCTGCCTTTCAAATAAAATTTTTAATATATAGTTTTCTTTTATATAGAAACTTTGTGCTGTGGTCTAGATAAGAGCTTGGCTGAATGTTCCTCACCAGGCCTATGTGTTAAAGGTTTGGTCTCCACAGTCTATGTTAATGGCAATAAGAGTGGAAACTCAATCCAATCATGTATTTGGATTGCATTATTAGGACGGAGCCCCCAGGATTAAATCCTGATGACTGTATAAGAGTAGACCACATGATGCTCTGTGCTGCCTCGGGCCTCTGCCGGCAGGATGCCATTGTCAGACGCCACACCAAAGGCGCTGCCCAGTGTTGGATTTTAACCCTCAGAACTGTAAGCCACAGTTGACCTCTTTTCCTTCACAAGTAGCTTGTGTCAAGTATTTCGTTGTAGTAATGAAACTAACTGATGTCCCTTAAGGCTTACGTTAAACTCTGATGATACATAAACCCACACTACAGAATTACTATCTTTGAGGCTTTTCTACATACAAGTGCATGATCTGTAGCAACCAATTAGATGTAACAAGCAGTAATCCACTGAAAATCCTCAATACACTGAAAAACAAAAAATACAGAATTAGCAAATTATTCATGAATGCTTAGTGAATCTGTTGCGCTAGGCATTTTGCTGAGCGATACGGGAGACAGAACTGAAGCAGTCATTTCCCAGCAAACGAGTAAACAGTGAAACAATGTGGAAAGACACCCTGTGCCAAGAGCAGTCGGTCTTGGGTGAGTACACGCCGTGTTCAGGCAGCGAAACAGTTTGGGTGAAATACTAGACGTGGAGTTTGTGTGAGCTAGGAAAGCCCATGTTTCTGGCTGAGGCCGTTGCGTGGAGGGGCTGGTACCTTCCACTGAGCTATGGAGTAGATGAAGCCTGAGCCTGAGAAACAAAGAGTTCTGAGAAGACGGCCGAATGGAGATGAACAGTCAGGAAAGACTTTAGGGCTGAAGATGGGCACAGGAGCAGACTATGAGAGGGGAGTCGCTGAATATAGTTAATCCAAAATCTGTGTCTTCACGTAAGAAAGCATAAGTTCACACATGGAAGTGTCCACTGCAGACAGAGCCCTGCTTCAAACCGTCATCTGTGCTGCACTCTCTGGAACAGGGCCCCTTCTCAGTCACTGTAGTGAGGGGACAGACCGTGGGGAGGGCCTGTGGCAGCTCTTGCCTACATGAGCTCGGAAATGACCTAAACCTATTGATAAAACCGGTCATGTGGCCCCAACCAATGTCAAAGCTGTGAAGATTGGTCTTGCTCCTCTGCCCAGGAGTAGAAAACCAGGTATTGATTAAGAATGGCAATGCCTGACTCAAAAGGGAACTGCGTGTATCATTAAAACTGATATTTTCTACCATTTTATGTCCCAAATACATACATCCCATATATATCTGGTGTATACAGCTATCATCTTCAGGCTTAGCTTGCAAACCCCATGTTCCACGGTAGTGAGACAGCCTGCAGTTCCCTAGGAAACTGCAATCTTACCTTCCACATGTCCCAGACGCCTCTGCACGGCCTGGTTTCTCTGCCTGGCACATCCTTCTCAAGCTGCAACTGCTTCCCCCTTAAAACCTTGCCCTACACGTTTCTGACTCTGGGCTGTCACTATAAATTCCTCTGCTCGTGTGCCAGACTCGGCAGTTCACAAATCCACTGCCTCCCCTTATCTGTAACTGCAAGAAAGGCCAGGTACCTTCCTCCTCATCCCCCTCGGATCTTTAATAGTTTCCATTTTACAGTAGTGCATATGACATCAAAAGACGGACTGCCCAGGTCTGGATTTTGGATGGAACACTTGTATTATCTGTAATCTTTGGTAAGTTACGTAGCCTTCTCTGTGCCTTTGGCCTTTGCTTCCTCGTTTATAACAGCTCTTTTGAGGAGTAAGTTAGACAAAGTGAAGGTAAAAAAAATCAGTTATTACATGACTGTATCAGTGTGCTTGGAGCTGGGCACGTAGCTGCCAAGAAGAGAGGAAGTTCTCTTTGTTTCTAAAGTCAATCTCAAATTGTTTTCCTACATACGAGGGCACTTCAAAAGTGGAAAATGCAAGTAAAAGATAAATTTATTTTGGTGTAAAATGAATTTGAAATCCATGCATATGAGGGGGTCTACAAAAAGTTCATGAAAAATGTTTATGAAACTGTGGATTTCAAAAAAAATTTTGCACCAAAGCAAACATCTTTTAATCCCATTTCCACGAATTTTGAAATACCTTCATAAAGGAAAACAGTGGTTTGTTTCTATAAGTAAACTCCACACACAAGATACAGTTCTAACAGAATCCATTCATTTACTTATAGCACTACAAAGGAGAAGCAGTTTTTTGTTAGTAGTCTAATGTACCCATTACAGAATTTTACTTGGGAGTAGGGGAGAGAACAGCTTAAGGGAAAAACTCATTTTGGAAGGTTCTGGATAATGATTTTAACGGTATTCTATAATTATTTCCATATTCACTATTTAGTAGCATTTTAATTATAAAAGATTAATCTTTTCATCTTCACTTCTAAATAAAATTGCTCAAGAACAGGGGAACTGACTATAGACTAAAATAAATGACAGAGACCTGAGAGTTTTAGTGTAAGAAATACCTTTTACTCTGACTCAGTTAATAAAGGAGCTTTCAGAAGAATACTTCACGTTCCCATTTACAGTAAAGAAATAAATATAGTCATGAGAGCAAAAACAGATGGAGGAGGGGGCGTTTCCAGTACAAATGCAGACTGCGTTTGCTTTTATATCCTGGCTGTTTTATTGCTTTTGTAAGGGAAGGTAGCTTTAAAATCTAGTAAAAAGTCGTATAAATTTTTGGCAATTTTCTTAATTATTAGGCAATGCTTCCATGTTAGAAAAATGAGGTCCTCTTACAGCTCTAAATTAAAAACATTATTTAATAATCATTTCATATTATAGACCTGAGTGGTATATTTTAACTAACTGTAATCCACAAGTCTAAATTGGGACTTTATGTATACCTTAGCAGGATATAAGGTGATACACTTATTTAAGAAAAGAACTTTAAAGTTTAATTCTGTCAAACTTTAGAGGACGCCTTAGCTCAAAGAAAATGCAATTTAGCTCAGTTTCAACAGATGAGTTATTAAAAGAAAATGTGTACTATAAATTAAAAATTTTAACAAGTTCCAAATGTACTTATTAAATATAAAGATGTTGGCTCTGGTACATAAGAAAATATTTACAACTAATAAAAAGCAGATCATAGAATATACATCTTCTGTCTATAAAAATAAAGCAAAATGTTTTATAGTCGAGAAAGCCAGGTTTTATCTCTGCAGCTGTTACAATACCGTGCCACCAGCACTACTGAACACACACATGTGCGGCAGGCCTGGAACAGCAGTCTTGGTTTAAAGCTCATACTGGCTTTTCAGGGCCTGCACGTCTTCCAGAGAAAAGTGGCCGTGCGGTGCGTCCGCCAGGGCATCGAAGAGCTGTTGGAGTTGCTCCTTCTGGTCCTTGCTAATGAGCGTCAGCATCATCTGAAACAAGGAAAAGTTACATCAGCCTAAATTAGCATTTTACAGTTACAGAAACCTCCTAATATCTCTTAATAAAACAGTTTGCCACTGACCTTAAACCTGTCTGCTTTGCTCAGATATAAAAGGTGCTGATAGACCAGGGAGGGGTCTTTATCCACGAGATGGTTCTTCAGAGCCTGAACCAGGAGGAGGAACGTATCCCCTTCAAGTTTGTTACTCAACAATGTGGGCAGCTCTTCCGGCGCAGTGGAGGCTAAAAGGTGCGCACAGGCCGCCTTATCTTTCCTCAGACTGATAGCGTTGATGGCCTGGCCGAACTCGTAGGCATTGTGCGGCCTGGCGAGCGGAAGTTCTTCCAAGTGTTCCAGCGGCCCGTTGCGTCCCTCGCCCTTCTCAGACGCCGGGCTGTCGGCGAGGCCGTCCTCCCTGGTTGGCTGGGGCTCCCTGTCATGGCACTCAGTCACCTGCAGGAGGGACAGAGCAACAGTCACCACACAGACCCCCAAGTAATTTCTTTAGGAAGAGAAGCGTTGGGGTGTAAGAATCCAGTTCATAAAAGTATTCCTCTGGAAAGTTATTTTAAAAACTCTGATGTTGAAAATATGAAATTTTATCTTTGGAACTGTTGCATGAAATAAACAGCTATAAAATAATTATTATGAAAATACTGCATTTACTCTTAGTTCCTTATCGTTTAACACAGGTGTTTCTCCTTTAAGGGAATAAGCTTCCCCTCTCCTCCTGGCCTCGGAGGGGATGCACCAGACCCGGGGTGGGATATTAGCGCTGAGGACTGCCCAGGAGTCCAGGGCCTGACAGTCCTCACTAACGGGCGCTCTGTGTAGTCTCAGAGGCAGGTTGGACCCTGAGGAGGTCAGTTTCAGAGTGCTAAGGTCTGAGCCCGTCTGGGAGAATCTCACGGGGTGTGGCCTGCAGGGCCCCTGAAACCCAGTCAGGTCTGCCAGGAGTCCCAGGGCTGCCCTGCGGTGGAAGCTGTGCGAATCACAGGCCCGACGGCGGGGGGGCGGAGACTGCCAGCACGGCCTGTGCGCCTGCGCAGGGAAATACAGTGGCTCGTTCTCCCTGCAGGAAGTGTCGTCTTTGTCACTAGTTACAGCTTTTCCAGTGATGTAGAACTCTGAGGAGTATGACCTTAGAGTCTCGTATAGGAGCCCCAAAAGAGTACGTTCAGTAATGATCAGTTACAAATACCTCTTGAATCTCGATTTTCTTCCTCTCCTTGCCTTTGTTGAGTGATGCCGTCTCATCCTTAGTATTAAGGAATCTGGTGACCTCTTCCAGTTCCATCTTTGCCTCAACAATATTTGGGTCTAGTAGGAGAACTTTATTGAGATCGGTTAAGCTTTTCTGATAATTCTGGAAGTGGGAAGACAGCGAAAAGAACTTCCATAAATAGAAGGCTGGGACTTGAGTTACCCTGAGTGGGGGTGAGCGAGGATGTGAGTCACAGAGAGTGTGCACAGGGCTTCCAACAGATGCACCCTGTGCAGGGGCTCCGCCTGCGGCTGAAGCACCTGGGTGATAGCCCATCACCCAGGGGACATCCTCTCCAAGGCAGAGCACAGAACCCCGCGTGGGAAAGCTCCATTCTGGATCACCACGGCCTCGTGTGGCAGGCATCTGCCTGCTGAGCGAATGGAAGAATGAGCATCTTGCATTAGCGCCTGCCCCAGTTCTCTCACCTGTAAGAGGACAGACACTCTGCGAGTCACAAGACTGTGCCCAGGAATCCATAAATGAGTGGTTTCAGGCCGTAAGTGGCTACACAAATGGGAGTGCCACTGTGAACTCACGCTCCACTAAACCCTTCAGAATTGACCACTACTCAAGAGGAGCTAGAGCCGGCACAAGTCAGAAAATAATTTGCAAAGAGGAATCTAAGGTTACCGAGACACCGCAGAGTCCCAGAACCACTAGCCAGACCTCCCCCTCGATTAACCCACACTGTGAGGAGGCGAAGAACTGCAATGAAGTGTGTGACCCCTTGTATGCGCGACCGGGGGCTGAGGCACACAGCAGTGAGCCGGTGGTCCTGCGACACTCCGGAGGGTCTCGCTGTGACGCCACATCACGTCCCTCCCCGTCCCCCAGCAGAGGTGACACTGTTGAAAGGGACAGCCTCAAGTGTGCTGGAACTGATGGAGTCTCCGCGACAGTACACGGTGTACCACCAGTAACATACCACTGTGACACGGGCAGCTGGCCGAGCCTGCACGTGGCGGCAGGAGGCGCGAGGCTGCAGCAGCCGAGGCGCTCTACTCCCCCGTCAGCCCTGCAAGCGCTAACCTCTACCGGCCCCTCCTTAAAAAGTGAGGAGACGGAAGTGCCCAGAAGGCGGAGCCTAGCACCCGTGAGCTCTGGACACATCCCGAAACGGAAGTCCAGCACCACAGGAGCGGACACCGTCACTCCCTCGGCCTAAGCAGCACCCTGCCTGCTCACCACCCTTAGGCGGGCGAGGGCCGAGAGAGGGCAGCGGCAGAGCAGGGGCCGCGTTCACTCCCTTCACAGACGGCCACTGAGCTCGTCCCTGTGCCGGGAGCGGCGACCGCCATGGCTGGACCACACCGCGGCAGAAGGTTACATCCGATGAGGGGAAAAGTGAATAGAGTAATTATGGGCTGGCGCAGTGACGAAAGGCGGGGCCTGAGATGGGTATTAACAAGGGAGAGGCTGGAGGGGGCAGAGCCTAAGGACGAAGTGTGGACTTTCCACGGTGCTGACCGCAGCCCAGCAGCAGGCCTTTTTAGAAAGATACAATATAAACCCACGTGTCTGACAGTATTTACCATTCATAGACAGACAAGGGACCGGCGCTGTGGTGCAGCGGGTTAAAGCCCTGGCCTGAAGCACCACCATCCCATATGGGAATCCCAGCTGCTCCACTTCCGATCCAGCTCTCTGCTGTGGCCTGGGAAAGCAGAGGAAGATGGCTCAAGTGCTTGGGCCCCTGTACCCATGTGGGAGACCCAGAAGAAGCTCCTGGCCTCTGGGGAGTGAACCAGCAGATGGAAGACCTCTCTGTCTCTCTGCATATGCCTCTCTGTAACTCTGCTTTTCAAATAAATAAATTTTTTAAAAACAGATATGCAAAAACCATAAATGCAGTAATTATAAAAAATTATCCTGACTATTCTGGCCTCCTAGTACCCTCTGTTAGCTGGAAATAATCCCTAAGGGGCTCCATGCCTTACCTCCGTACCCTCAGTGCCTAGCACATAAATGAAGCTCAATAATTTGTAATGAAGGCAAACTGTTACCTTTCCTTCCGAGAAACAGCTATGCGTGAAGGAAAGCCTGTAGTGTTTACAACTAGCACACACAAGCCACCTAGGAAACAAGAGATCGGAGGAGAGTGCTCAGCTGGACCCCGCAGGCAGTGCACCTGCTATGACCGGTGAACCCCGGTCACCCAACGCCACTTCCTCAGCACAGGCTCAGGGGCAAATAGATTCCAGTCCCCCCACATTTTGTAAGCAGTTATAGTCTTTGAAGATTCTGAAATTGAATTCACTTGTCACACAGCTCAGACTACTGGACATAGAAATCAAGCTATAAGAAATCAGCCCCAAAAACCACGTCACTAGCCTCATCAGCTAACAGGAGTAGTCATAATTGGGATTATCTTTCTGCATCATGATACAATTTCTAGAATTCCTGCCTTGGAAGTATGACATTCCAGTCTCACTGAGTACACCTTCTGACCTCTGAGTCAGCGCAGCAGGTTGAGAGAGACAGGTAGCATGAGGCGAGCCTGCTCTAAGTCTGGACATCAGTCAGTGTATAAGTCATTCAGATTTACCCTCATGGGCTCAGATCACCAAGCTCAGAGGGCTGAGGAAATCTTCCAAGCCTGTCTTCATTCGTGCTGCCACCGCCATCCAGGAACTCCTCACCCGAGGTTTACACGAGTGTGCTGATGCACAGACTGCCCGCGTTAGACACGCATGCGACTGCATGACCACCCCCTCCCAGGAAAACCTAGCTATTCCCCTGTCAGCCCTGGGCATGGGCTTAGAAGAATTATCTCAAACTCTGGACTCTGCCTCTTCCTCAAACCTGTTCTTCCTCCTGAACGCCCCCACCGTCGCCTGTGCTGTTTAGCCTGCTGGGCCTGAGCCCTGGGATGGGCCCCTCTCATCTCCCCCGTGTGTTCTGTTCTCTGGATCCCATCAGCTTCTACCATTAACCCAGCCTCCAGTCGGCCCCCTCGCTTTCAGTGTGGGGCAGCCTCCATCCCCCGACAAGTCTGCACGTTGACATTCTAAGTCTCAGGACCACAGGACGGGACTGTATCCACTGGAGACACGGACTTTACAGGTGATGGAGTTCAAGGAGCTCATAAGGCTGGCCCCTGACCCAGTACAACTGGCATTCTCCAAAAGGAAATGTGGCTGGAGGTACACACGGGGGAGCCCGTGTGAAGACATGACAGTGTGGCCACCTACAGGCCACGGAGAGTGGCGTCCAAAGAAACCAGCCCTGGCCTCATCTCAGACTTCTGGTTTTCTCCAGAACTGAGAAAATCAGTTTCTGTTGTCTAAGCCACATAGTTCCTGATGCTTTGTTTCAGCAGCTCTAGCCAATGAACACACCTCTCTCTCCCGCCTTCAGGGGCCTTGGGGCCCTCCTACCATTCTGCTCCAAACAGTCCCCTCTGATCCACCTTCTGTGGGGTCCCCATCACTTACAGGATGAAGTCCAACCTGCTCCTGGCCTCTGGCTGTATGATTTGGGAACAAGCCCATGAAATACATGCACAGGAATGTCATAGTCACTTTGTTCATTACACCCCCAAACTGAAAACCATCCGCTAGGCGTCATCAGCTGGTGAATATGCCAGCACGTGTGGTAGATTCATAAAACTCAGTGATGGGCCAGCGCCACAGCTCACTAGGCTAATCCTCCACCTGCGGCACCGGCACTCCAGGTTCTAGTCCCGGTCAGGGCACCGGATTCTGTCCCGGTTGCTCCTCTTCCACTCCAGCTCTCTGCTGTGGCCAGGGAGTACAGTGGAGGATGGCCCAAGTGCTTGGGCCCTGCACCCCATGGGAGACCAGGAGAAGCACCTGGCTCCTGCCTTCAGATTGGTGCAGCGCGCCGGCCACAATGCGCCGGCCGTAGCAGCCACTTGGGGGGTGAACCGACAGAAAAAGGAAGACCTTTCTGTCTCTCTCTCTCATTGTCTAACTCTGCCTGTCGAAAAAAAAAACAAACAACAACAACAACAACAACAAAACAGTGATGAACAGGTTCTGAAACTCATAAAATATGGGTGAAGTTCAAATTATGCTGAGTCAAAGGAGCCAGGGAGAGAGCACGTTCTATGTGCTGATGCTGAGGTCAAAAGGAAGCAAACTGATCTGTACTGGTGGAATCAATGAGTGGTTGCAACGGGGCAGGTGAGGAGGAGGGAGGGAGACACTGCAAAGGGGCAGGGAACTTTCTAGAGATGCAGATGTTCTTTACTGTGAATGGAATGATGGCTACAGGGATATACACTTGCCAAGAGTCAGTGACCTACAAAGTGCAAACCAGACCTTAATAAAACTGCCTTTAGGAAAACAGCATTTGGGGCAATGCCATTTTCCAATGTGTTTTGGTTTTTCATGGAGGAGGTATTTCCTACATAGGTGCCCATTTATTAATATTCCCAAGCAGAGGAATCTGCACAAAGAAAGGTAATGGCACAACACCCTCTTTCTGCTACACTACTGAGGTGGTTTTTCAGAGGAATGTCACTGGCCAATCACAGCTTAAGGCCTGGCCCACTGGCAGCCTCCAGCCCTGTGAAGTGCCGCCACCGACTTCCACTGGGTGGCGCTCTTCTGTTAGCATGCCTTCCCCTGTCCTCGCTGCGAGAGCCAGTGCCATCACTGCAGGCTTGCACTAATTCAGTAACAAAACTTGCCCCTGAAGCGAACCTACTGTCGCCAGGAACACCTCCTAGGAAACTAGAAAATGCACGTGTGACGCTGAGGTCCTCCTAGAGCCCAGGTGTGTAGCTGCCCGTACTGTGTGGTCTGTGGCGTTCACGCAGTGGAATCACCTAACGACACTGCTCAGAACACCCCGTCATCGGGAAGCAACACGTGACCCTAAACCCTGACTTGCAAGCTGGAAGTTACCTTGGAAATGACGAAGCCCCACAGCAGAGGCAGGGAGAGGCCTGAGGTCCGCTCCAGGCGGCAGAGCTGGTTAGTATACAGTACTAGACTTAGACCCCGGGACTGCCGCAGCCCCACTCCGTGATCCTGAGATTCGTGAAAACCACTTGGTTTCTCCCGAGCTGAAGCGCAGACGTGCCCTGAAGAGGCGGCGTCCTCACCTTGAGTCCCTTGTGAGCCAGCGCCCGGCGGTAGCATGCCTTCACGTTCCCGGCATCCATCTGCAGTGCCTGATCGCAGTCCCGCTTGGCCTCTTCAAACTGACACAGCTTCAGGTAGCACAGAGCTCTGCGTGATGGAACGGAACCGGTATTAGGAATGGTCAAGCCTGCAGGTCTGAGAATTCAGACAGCTCAGAGACACCAAAAATTTCCTCGGCAAGTCTGTTGCTAGGGGCCAGTGCTGTGGCGAAGCAGATTAAGCCACTCTCGTCAGTGATGCCGGTTTGAGTCCCGGCTGCTCCACTTCTGATCCAGCTCCCTGCTAATGCACCTGGGAAAGCAGCAGAAGATGGCCCAAGAGCTTGGGCCCCTGCACACACATGGGAGACCCAGATCAAACTCCTGTCTCTTGGCTTCAATCTGATGCCCAGCCCTGGGCATTGTGGCCATTTGGGAAGTGGACCACAAAATGGAAGACTTTCTCTGCCTCTGTCTTTCCCTCTCTGTAACTCTTTCAAATAAATAATCTTTAAAAAAAAAAAAAATCCGTTGCTAAACCAAAGCTATTTCAACAAAAATGTAGCATCTGACTCCAGTGTATATGAAGTTAGGACCCTGGGGATAGGGCTGCACACACAACAGTCCCAGGCCTCAAGGAAGATGCACTCCAGCAAAAGGAACCAGGAGACAATCAAAAGCAAACACTAAAACCTGCAAGGGACGCTCTGGTGCCCACGGCGGAGAGCAGCAGGTCTGGTGGGGCTGAGCGAGGGCTGGGGCAGTCAGGGAAGACTTCCCTGAAGAAGTGACATTTAAGCAGAAATCCAGAGCGTGAAGCAAGACTTCTCCAAGGGCACAGCCGGTGCACAGCCCCACACGGGGGAGAGCACGGTGCTCTCGGCGAATGAAGCTCCACGGAGCAGGCATTTGGCACAGCAGTAAGATGCTGCTTGCCCATATCAGGGCGCATGGGCTCAAGTCCTGGCTGCCCTGCTTCCCATCCAGCTCCCTGCTACTGCACCACCCATGTGGGAGGCTCGGATGGAGTTCCAGACTCCTGGCTTGGACCTGGCCCAGCCTTGGTTGTTGTGGCCAACTGGAGAGTGAACTAGTGGTCGGAAGATCTTTCTCTCTAAATCCTCCCCCCCGCAATGCTCTGCCTTTCAAATAAACGCGTGATCAATCTTACTAAAATGGCAGCTGAGTAGCACTCTAGAACAACCTGCCTCTTCCTACCAATGACGATGAAAGATGCCGGCGCCTTCCCTCCACAGAGAAGGAAAAGGGCATCTTTCCATAGAGCCCGTTTTGAAAGGCTGCCGGCTGCTGCTCCTCCTGCACGGCACCATGTCCCTGCAGCCGGCTGCTGGGAGGCCGGACAGCAGGAAACCGAAGCAGAGCGGCACTCGCGACAGCAGCTTGTGGGGACCTGGTGACGCAGAGCCGGACCCCGTCCCGTCCCGTGCCCGCCGCCTGCTTCCAACCCCTTCGAGCCCCCCTCCCGCCCCACTCCTCTCCGCAGCACCCTCTGAGGACCACCTACTGGATAAACTCCTGGAACAAGATGAGGCACTCTGGCGACTGATTATCTTATTCATGACCTCCTCAGCACCATACAGAAAAGCCACCCAGGACTTGCCTGTTCGTATATATGGCACATTCCTTGTTGTTGATCTTCAAGCATTCGCTGTATTTACTGAGGGCATCTGTGTAGTTTTTGTCCTTTACACACCGATTCCCTTCCTCCTTCAGGGCTTTAAACATGCTGTCATCTAGGGGACCAAAAAAAAAAAAAAACCAGAGGAGGGGTTCAGGTGAGCGCCTCTCTGGGGGGCTGCAGCACAGCCGCAGGTGCACCTTGCACTGCAAATGAACCAAGGTCAGTCCAAACGCAGCCCTCTAAAACTGGCTGTAAGCAAAGATGAGGGCCTCCTTCTAAGCCTGTTACTTTCTAACTAGGCAGTGACACAGCAGCAGTTCTGTTAGGCTCCCCTGGACGCTGGAACTAGGAAGAGGCCAGAACCACCTCCAAGACAGAACCGAGCCAGGTGAGCGCCCCAGCGCAGCAGGACCAGTCTCCAGCAGGCTGCTCCTGGGAACTTGCAGGATCTCGGTTCCCACCGAGGCCTAGCCCGCTTCCCCAGCAGCCCCGGCCACTCCGGGCTCAGGCTACGCTGCAGGTACCACAGCAGCAGTCCACAAAACGCAGATGCAGACATCCACAGTGCCGGCTCAGGAACTACTGCACTGGTCGCGAACACATCCGAGTGGACATCTACCCGGCAGCCCCAGCTCCCCCAGGGGTCACACCTCCTCCGCTCTCTGCTCTCGTGCTTTAGGTAACGCAACGCCCAGCCCAGCCCAGCCCAGCCCAGCGCAGCCCTCTGCGGTGATCCCTCACAGTCAGGACCTCCTGCTCCCTTGAGCACGATAAGCCAAGTGGGCAGGGACGGGCTAGGAGAGCCGGTCAAACACGGGAAGATTTCTGTGGCAGATTCTCAGCGGTAATTCTCGCTCTACGCCCTGGGCTGTTTTAAGGCAAGAGCAGGAGCTATGAGAATGAGGCCCATGGAGCCAGGGAGAGGCCGGGATGGACAGCACAGAGGAGCCTCTGGGTCCTGAAGCCAGCCATGGGGACTCGTGCTCAGCCAGCGCCAGTGGGCAGTTCTGTGCTGAAGCCATTGACCCTGGGCTTTCTGTTACCTGCAGCCCAAGTGCCGCTACTGTTCACAGCACATTCCTATGACGTCACGGTGAGCACGGCTGACCCTGCTCCTCAGAGGCCCTCAACGTTCACCCAGCTACCACCTGTTTAGCCCGCGTGCTTGGGAGAGGCTGATCCCTTGGATCAGGGAGCCAGGCCAAAGCCAATCAGCGTGTGACATTTACTTCATGAAAGAGACTGGCTCAGGAGCAGGCACATGGCCCAATTCAGACCAACAGGAGAGCGGGTGGGCTTGGGGGCAACAGACTCCCCCATTATTAACCGAATGCCACCGAGGACACTGGCGGTCTCCCTCCCCTGGCACACCGGTGTGTGTGACGTGATGCCTGCGCCAGCTACTGCTCTCTTGTTTCTGCCGTAGCCTGGGGCCCTGCAGTTGTGTGAACCAATACTGCCCCTTAGAGTTGAACTTGCAAAGCCAAGTTTTCAAACACGCAGGAAGTATTAAAACTTAAGGTTTTAAACCTATGCGATAACATTACCCTATGGAGTAACTTGATGTATAATAAAAATCCATAAATTAAAATTTGAAACATACCTTAAGTACTGCAATCTAAAAAAAAATCTTCTGAGGCAATGAATTTGTAATATAAACTGGCAATTTAAGTGATCTTACTTGTCCTCGTGCACAAAGTTAATTTTTCATCTTTTATTTCAAGTCACAGAATATTTCTGCCTATGTTTCACATTTCAAAAGGTCTCACAGCAACCACGGAGCCACATGAGACTTCCCTGGGATCCTGGCATACAAAGTCTAAAACAGAACAATATCACAGAGAATTGTGTCCCTCGACTTGCCGGAAGACTGCGCCGTCCAGCACCTACCCTCCAGCGTCTTCGTCCATTCTCACTCATCCTCGTGCTGCCCATTTGCCGCTGCACAGATCTGCGTGCGGTCTGCGAGCAGAGACAGCCGCCCCTAACCGAGCAAGCACTTAGGGTCAGGCCCCACGCATCATGGGCGCCAGTGCCCGCGACTTCCTAGGACTGCTGGGCCGTCTGGAAGCCGTGGCAGGCGTTCCCCGCCGTGCTTTGTGGGCAGTCAAGGGTTGACGGTCCCACCCCAGCGAGTCGGGCATCGTGGGCCCGGAACCTCCGGGCCCCTGCCAGACAAAGCCCGGGCTGGGGACACGGCACGTTCCCAAACCTACGGGTGCTGTGCGATTGTGGCTTTAAGGCAGAAACCGGGAGTAAAAACCATTGATTAAAGACTTACTATAGGCACAGCCACGACGAGAATGCCAACCGTGATAAAAGGCGCGAGGCAGAACCTGCTAGATTTATAATATGGGGTTTTATTTTATTAAACACACCAATCTCTCCTTTAGCCTCATCATACACATGGTCTGCTAGAGAGGCATATACTACTTAGTTCTGTTTTCTTCATCTTAACACTACTACTAACTTCACGTTTCGTAAGAGGTTACCATAGGCTGACACAGTCAGCAGGTGTACTACTATTTTATACATCCAAGCATACCTCAAAAAGTTCATGGAAAACAGAACTGAAAGTGTGGTACACGAAAAAACGTATGCACAGTTTTTTCCACAATATTCATTACCCATGAACTTTCCTAAGATCCCTCATAGCCTTCACTTGTTCCTAACAATGCCCCGCACCCCAAGATGGTTATTAATATTCCCCCTCATTCATATACACGAGGACACGGGGAGCATGAAGCAACCCCCAAGACCATGTAGCTACAGAGGGAGAGCAGGGATCAACTTCAGCCCAGGTCTGACGCCAGAGCGCATGCTCCCATCTGCACGTCACTGTGAACGCAGGACGACCTCGGCGGAAACGAACCTGTGCTGTCCGGCGGGCGGGGGCCGCTGAAGTCTCCCTCTTGGTTAGGGGTTGTCTCTGCAGCAGGGCGCCAGCCTGGCACTGGGGCAGGAGTGGGCACGGCAGGGATGGGCGACAGCTTCTCCCGCCAGCTGGGTCCGTCCAGCTCCATTAGGATTCTTGTGATTCTAAAGAGAACACGCGTTTGCTGCGTCGACCATGTGATCTGCACGTGTGTACAGCTTGCACAGGCACACAGTTTCAAAAAGGACTCAAAAAAGTTGCCATAAAGGATGTAACCTTAGACCATATTTTAGCCAAAATAAAAATTAAGACATTTTTAATGTATTAATAAATTTAATTTGTAATTTGTTAAAAAGTTTGTAACTTAGACACAATAATTTCCATTTTTGAAATGTAAGAGGCCTAGAGAAGAAATGTCCCCGTGGTATTTAATACAGCCACTAAAACAACAGTGTGTTGCTCTTGACAACCATCAGAAGTACTCTGCAATGTCTATGTCCAAAGCAGACAGGAGCGTGGCTGAAGGCAGGTCCAGGATGGATGAGGGCTGGCCATTACAGTGTTTACATGTGGCTCAAACACTCCTTCTCCTTGTAAGTCTGGCATCTCCCGTCACTTGTTTTCATATGAGTAAAGAAGAAAAACAGGCCCCTGGCATTTTCTCCAAGGGCCTTTGAAGGAATGACATTGGCTAAATATGCTAAGATTCAGACTGGCATCCCTGACCTCCACTCTCTCATTCTGTAGACACACGAGATGTCACACTAAGATTTAACAACCAAATTCAGTTATGCCTCTGGGACGACCCTGGTTATAAAAGACGCTTCCCAAGACGGAGAGGGTTTACTGGTGAAATGCATCCACATCGACCACCTCTGTGGTCTCGCATATTCTTTGTGTGAAAAATGTTTCTGTTTACAAACACACAAATACAACGCACTACACTCTCTTCAAACAAGTTTCAACAGCAACCTTTGGTCATGACTAAATCTCATATCTTAGTGTAAATTTTTTTTTTTTTAGTGAGTGTATAACCACCCATTACTGTGGGAGAAAAAGGAGCTTCAGAAAAAAGAAATTTTAAGCAAAACCTGTATTACCAGCAGGGAGGGAGGAAGAAGCAGCTGAAAAGAGATGCTGTGTTGCCAGGGAGTAAATAAGTTTATGCAGGGAAATTTAACATATTAATTTTCCTGGAGAGGGGAGAGAGGAATATGGTTAATGGAAGATGGAACAAAACAAACACAGGTGTTTAAATGAAAATAATCAGCTGCTGCTGCTGAATTGCCCATAATGAACTGGAATAGATGGGGACAGCAAAAATATGGGATTCACAAAAAAGGAACAGTGAAAATTCTGAAATAGAAACTTTAGATAAGAAACCAGACGAAGCCGCCAAACCTTGGGAAATGCATCAGCAAGAACCATTCTCAATTTTAAAATGATTGACGTAGAAGAGCCTGCTTGAATACACTGAAAACTATCATCCAATCCTCAAACATTTAAAGACAGAATTACCAAACGACCCAGCCATGCTGCTCCCAGGTCTATCCCCAAAAAGGAACTGAAGACAGGCAAGCGAGCAAAGCTGGCCCGTGAGCGCTCACGGCAGCCCTGCTCACGGGAGCCGATGGCTGGGAATGACCCCAGAGCCGAGGAGCAAACCAGAGGCGACGCACACAGGGGAGAGCCAGCCAGTGACCGCGAGGAGCGAGGGCGGACACGCACGTCACACGGCAAAGGCCCGGAGTCGACCTTGCCGTCTGCGTCCCCACGCCAGGGAGCAGATCCGGGAGGGGATAACACGCGGACAGGTTTCCCTCCAGGGTGACGGGAACGGGAACGACCGGGGGCCACGTTACAGCACGCGGGAGCAGGCTGAATGCCGCCGGGGTCCGCTCTCCGCTCGCTTCATGCGTTACCTCCATTTCTAAAAGGGCCCGGAGCACAAGGCCCAGCAATGGGAGTAGCCCCGGCCTCAGACAATTCTCGCTTCAAATCACCCCGCCAACCACTAACGAGGTTCCCTAAAGTGCCTTTGGATCAGGCCCTGCTCCCCGGCAGCTACTTCCTTCCGTCACCTTGTCACCTCCAAGACGATCCTACTTCTGCAAACCACCAGGCAGAGGACGGGGCAAATTCAGAGCAGCGCCCCACAGGCAGAGGTTAGGCCGACATCCAAGTGCCTGGGTTCAACTCCCGCTCCAGCGCCTGGTTCCAGCTTCCTGCCGGTGCTGACCCCGGGGAGTCCCTGGGGAGGGCTCAAGTACTTGGGTCCCTGCCACGCTCCCCGGAGACCTGGACTGTTTTTCCAGCTCCGAGCTTTGGCCTGGCCCAACGCCAGCAGTTATGGACATGTGGAGAGCCAAACAGAATGGGAGTGCTCAATCTCACTCGCTCCTCTCTGTTTGCATCTGCTTCCCAAATACATTCCAGGTTGGTTTTTTTGTTTGTTTTTGTTTTACCTTCAAAGCAAAGCCCTTTGCAAAGCGCATGCGTGAGAATGCACGCCCCGCCCCTGATTTCACTGGGGCTGCGTGGGGTGGCAGTCACAGAGATGGATAAGGCACGTGGCTGACCTCAAGGCGCTCTCAGGAGAGCGGCAGGAGAAGAGTTTGGCAATAGAGAACACAACAGAGACTGTAAAAGCACCGTGGGAGCAGGGTACCAAGGCCCAGCGCGATGTGAACGGGAACCTAAGGCGGAGAAACGGTGGGTCAGGGCCGGTGTTTTGAAGCCTCCCACTAAAGGATGAGAAGGAAGTCAACAGAGAAAAGGGGACAGGGCGCTCCGGCGACGGCAGCAGGTGCACGTGGTGAGGCAGCCACGCAGCTCACGACCCAAGAGTCGGCAGACGTCTGGGGCTTGGGCCCGCCCCACACCGCCACAAGTAACCACTACACAGCACCGCCCTTTCTTCTCACCCGGCTGGGATCAGACGGGCTCCGGGGAGGGGGTGGGCACCGAGGGTGGCCCTATCTTTCCAGTAGTTGTCTCCAGAGTGGGCTGGGACCCGTGAGGGCGGATGCATGATTTAGAAAGCAAGCGATGCGAAACCTACCTTTGTCGTCTCTTCAGGGTCCTCAGGTTCCAGCGTCAGCAGCCACCTCAGGCACTCGCTCTCTGCAACAGCCACAGCCCGCACAGACAAGGGGGCCTGATGGCCGCGGGGGCCCGCACAGCTCACTAACAAATTTTCCTGTCGGGGTGCCTCTGCCTCACGCCAAGCATACCCCCGGCCACGTTCCAATTGGCTGACAATCCAAGACCGAGGCGGCTTCTCCCCTCTTTGGCTTTCCTGGGGAAAGTGGGGCATGGCACCCTGGACCAGCACAGGGCACCGCGTCAGCACCTCGGGACCTGAGAAATGACTCTTGGGGTGAATGATGGGACCGCAGGCTGCACAAGGCGCGACTGTCACATTTCACCTGAGAGCAATTTACAAAGTCCAGGCATTCTTGCCTTCCCATTGGCACTTGAGGGGTAAACAGGTCACAACAAAATCGGGGATGCAAAGTCTCAGCCATTGCAGCTTTATAACTCAGTACCACCGGAGACAGGTGACCCATCTGCAAAGGCAGGCGACACCAACGCCCAGCGCGCCCATGCCGAAGTCTGCTCTCCTGGGGAGAGACAGGCATGTCTCCACCGATAGACCCCTGCACGCCCGGCGGGGAGGGAAGATTCAACTCGGCAGTCCACACTGCGTCTCCGGACCCGATCCTTCCGTGAGTCCCCGTGTGTGAGGCCAGTGCGCACACCTGTCTAATACCACAGATCTTTAGGCAGCCAGGCTGGAGGGGTCTGCCCGACGCTGGCTCACCTGTTGACGCCGTCGTTGGCTAGCTGGATTCCGCGGTCGATCTGCAACACTGTCTTGTAATCCACGTAAGCCTTCCCGTACTGCTCTAACGTCTCAAAGGCCAGGGCTCGCCGCAGAAGAGGCTTCACTGAAAAAGGCTGAAGCTCCAGGGCTCTAAAGGAGGCAAAAGGACCCCGCGTCACGTGTGGGGACTCCACTCGTCAGCTTCCACCTGACTGACCACACCCTGCGAATGCCCGCACACGTCACAGCTCGTCTCGCGGACGCTGGCAACACGCAAGGCAGGCAAACCCGGAGGGGCAGAGCAATCGGCTGGCTGTGTGGCCGCTCTCTTTCAAACCAGAACTGAAGCACCATGCGTGTCCTCCTCCCGACCGTGATGTGTGGGCTCCCCAGGGTCCCGGAGCCCAGCACGGCACCTGGCACAGAACAGGGTCTCAACGGATTCTCGTTCCCAATAGATAGAGAGTCTTACTTGCACTGTGTATCTAAGGCAGAACCTTAATTGAGAACCACATGAGCCTGTACTACATTTTGAAGACCAGCTGGGGCCAGCGCTGTGGCATAGGGGGCAAAGCCACCCTCTGCAGTGCTGGCATCCCATATGGGTGCCGGTTCGAGTCCCAGCTGCTCCACTTCCCATCCAGCTCTCTGCTATAGCCTGGGAAAGCAGTGGAAGATGGTCCAAGTCCTTGGGCCCCTGAGCCTGTATGGGAGACCCGGAAGAAGCTCCTGGCTCTTGGATTTGGATCGGTCCAGCTCCGGCCATTGCAGCCAACTAGGGAGTGAACCAATGGATGGAAGACTTCTCTGCCTCTGCCTCTCTGTAACTCTGCCTTTCAAATAAATAAATAAATCTTTAAAAAAAAAAAAAGACCAGCTCTTCAGGACTGTGTACAGTTCATTCTGATTCAGCAACAGCCAAAAAGTCTTCACGAATAAACCAGAAGGCAGGAAAAGAACTAAATACACAATTTCTAAGTCACGGATTTTCATTTTGCACTTTCTAGTCTATGAAGTATTTCCAGTAACATTCAAGGCGTACAAGGATACTTCACAGAAAGATGGGATAAAAGCTTATTCTGGTGCAAACATTTTGAAATCCATGCATACAAGAGGTGTTCAAAAGGGTCACAGGAAACACAACGTAGAAAGAGGTGCATAGAAAACTTAGTGTGCGGGGAAAAACAACTACACGTGGATTTCAAAATTAATTACTCTGCACCAAAGTCAACTTACCTTTCCATTCCATTTTCCCACAAACGTTTTGAAATACCCTCGTGTTTCAAGGTTTTGTTTGGAGCAACTGTGTAAAGCTATTTCAGTACTTGTGAACTTTTTTGTATTCTGAAGTGAAACACGCATTGCAAACAACGTACTCTCTGCCTTAACAAACTCGTGACGTGACACAGTGAAGCTGTCCTGGGTGCAGGGGGCCCGGGAACCGTGGATGCACTGGAGCCTGCCTATTTAACCCCCCACTAGTAATCTTAAAAATGTGCTGTCTAGGGGAGGGTGGTGTGGCACAGTGGAGTGGCCCACGGCCTGCGACACCTGCGTCCCTGGTTTGATACACAGCTACTCCACTTCTGATCCAGCCCCCTGCTAAGGCACCTGGGAAGCAGCAGGTGATGGCTCAAGCCCTTGAGTCTCTACCACCCATGTGGGGGACCCAGATGGAGTTCTAGGCTGCTGGCTTCAGCTTGGTCCAGCTCCAGCCAACGTGGCCATTTGGGGAACAAATCAGCTGCAAGAAGGAAAAGCGCACTTCCTGTCTTGAGCACCACTATGCGCGTTCCCAGTTCTGGATCCTGAGAGGCATTGAGCAAGCACCTCCTGGAGGGAGTCTCAGAGCGGCGCCCCCTGCAGCACACACAGCTGCACTGCCAGTGAGGGAGCTCCCAGTCACCCACCACTCGCCTTCCTTCATGCAGCCACGAGTCGGGGAGTCCTCCGTACTCTGCCACAGAAGTTATTCTGGAAGTGCTGTCAGGGACGGGGTTTGGGCAGCATTAAGATGCTCTGTGGACGTGCACATCCTGTATCAGAGTGCCGGGGTCTGAGCCCTAGCTCCGCTTCCTGTTAACGCACCTAGGAGGCAGCAGGTGCTTGGGTCCCTGCCATCCACGTGGGAGACCCAGACTGAGTTCCTAGCTCTTGCCTTTAGCCTGGCCCAGCTTTGGCCGTTGTAGGTATTTAGGGGGTGAACCCAGCATACAGAAGATATTTGTCAGTCTGTCTCCCTCTCTCTCCCTGCCTTTCAAGTAAAATAAATACATAAATAATTAGAAACACTGTGAAACCTTGGTAGCTGCTGAAAAACAACCAGTTTTGCTCTGCCTGGGTGTTAGGACCTGGTGGGAGATTTTAATGACCACCTGTGTGCTGTGCTGGCTTTCTTACATTTTCTGTAATAGGTACATGCTACCTATTCAAAGGTTATTTGCAAGTAAAAATCAAATTAAAAAAATACTGAAACACCAGGCAATAGGTCCTCAGGCATCAGGATCTATCACCTATACCACTTTGCTTTTAAAGATTTATTTATTTGAAAGACAGAGTGGGGGGGGGCAGGAAGGGAGAAGGGGGGGGCAAGAATCTTCCATCTGCGGGTTCACTCCCCAGATGGCCGCCACAGGCAGGGCTGGGCCAGGCTGCAGCCAGGAACTCTAAGTCTCCCACATGAGTGTCAGGGAGCCAAGCCCATTAGCAGGGAGCTGGACCGGAAGCAGAGCAGCCAGGACTGATGCTCCTGTATGGGACCCCACTCGCTGCACTACAGGGCCGACCCCCATTCCCCTGTCTGAAACCCAGCTAAGCTTAATTCTGAGGGAATACAAAGGGACTTCAAAATTCTGTGGAAAAACGGAATTAAAAGATGCATTTGTTTTGGCTCAAAAATATTTGAAATCCAGGCACAGGGTTTTTGTTGTTGTTTTAAGCCACACACACTTTCCACAAACTTTTTGAAGGCCCTGTGTGTTAACTGCAAACACAGATGATAAACATGGCTCTCTCATAAGCACACAGCTCTCTCCACTTCAGAGACTTCCAACACCCGGAGTACCATCATCCAATCAAGACGGCCCCAAGCAAGTGTGCGTGATGCACTTAATTTTCAGCACCTGCGGGCCTGGTTGGCGTGAGGGGTTTTCCCCTGGACCACAGTCCTCAGAATGAAGACGAGCCCCGGAACAGAAACCCCCACGAAGGAAAAGAAAGCACTCACGCCTAAAACTAAACAGGCACAGCCAACTTGGAAAGCGGTGCACAGAGAACAGGCCGCCTACTGGCACTGCGGAGACCCTGCAGCGTCCAAGTTCAAGCCTGTGCGAGAGGAGCGAGCGAGAATCCTAAGCACCCCTCCTGTGTGTTTAGCCTGTCGGAACAGATGCGGAGGTTCCTGGATACCACGCCAAGGCTCCCTGGCAGATGGGAAAGTGAAGGTTTCTAGCTTTCACTGGTAAACAATGATGCTAATAAAAATGTCTACAACAATGACTTGCAAACTTTTGCTTGGGCATCACAAGCCCTCTGTATTGCACCTGAAGGCCGGGAATGGAGACCAGGAGGCCCAGGCCCCCATACCCCAGGCATGTCCAAACCCACCCCAGGACACCCCGACGGCCCCCTGGGTGCAGGCATCCACATCAAATACCTCGATCATAAACCCCAAAGACATAAACATTCCTCCCACAGGTCAAAGTCTCTCACCTTCCCCTTACTTTAAATCCCACCCCAGGTTCTTCTTTTTCAGTGTTTGACTTGTCTGGTCAGAAGAACTCATGGAACTCTCCAAAGAGCAGAGATAATGGCCTTAAGAATCTCCCTTCCTCCCCCCAAAAAAAGGATTCCTTCAAAATGTCTGCAATCTGAGGTGAAGCGATGGCCAAACTTCCTGCTCGTACGTTATTCCTAGTTTATCCAGGTTTAAACACAGCCATATTGCAACAGGTGCATCGGGGCTCCTCTGGGATTGAAAACAAGTCTGAGAATCTCTGCTCTGGAGTAAACTCACCTCCTGCTCATCACCCTCTCCACGCCCCTGACTCACACAGCAGCTATCCAAGCCAACATCTAAGTAGGTCGCTCTCTGTGGAGGTCAGCGCTGACCAGCAGAGCCGGATTCCTTGGCTTAGAGCACAGCTCCTACCCAAGGACACCCTATCTGAAGCCACGCCCTCCCTCTGCACTCCCCCAGGACCAGTCACCCCCACCCCACCCCGACCCCGGGGCCTCCCTAGAGTCCCAGCATGCTTTCCCTGTGAATCTACCCTGACACACAGTGAGTCTCAGCCAGCACCTGCGCACCTCCTCTCAAGACCCCACTGTTTTGCAGGAGCCCTGACTTTAGGGACCCCAAAGTTGTAACCGCAGCATCCCGATCCTGCTCACTGCGGACGATGGCTGAGAGAAGCCTGCAGGGCAACACCCTGCACCCGGATCCCAGAGCTGAGGGGCTGCTGGCCACAAAGCACCCATGCCTGCTATCAACAAGCTCCCGGGCTCTAGTCAGTTAGCTACAGCCGGTGGTGGAGGTTTTACAACTGGCCCAGGCTTGTGATGTGTCAGTTTTCATGGGTACTGCCAATGCGAAAGTAACAAATCCTGCACCTTAGAGACAAGTGTCCACAGGACTCCACCTCGGGCTTCTGAGAGTGAAACGGATAGCCATAATCCCAGGAGACCACAGACGACAAAGCAGGCCTCTGGATTTTTTAGGTGCACCAATGGCAACTTCTGCAACAGGCTCAGACAAAGGCAAGGGTATGTTCTACTCAAGGATATGTACTCATCCGTCCTGGCGGGTGACTTCCGGGGCACCAACAGCGATTACGTTGCTGCAAGGTGGTGCCAGGCTGTAGGGGACCCGGCCCTGATCTGAAGGAGCCGAAATCCACCGCAGCGGAGGGCACAAGGACTTCCAGGGGTGACCTGCAGATGCCCAGGGGGCCTGGGGCATCCAGGACGCAGGAGAGGACAGCATCGGAGCAGGGACTGCGGGAGCCTAACCCGGCCCGCGGCCAGGGCGGTCCTGGCAGACCACAAGGCTGCACAGAGCTTGTTTAGGGGGAGGAGGGGCATCTGGTGACTGAGACACGTTTATAATTATCACCTGGAAGGTCTGTCTGAAACTATCTGAGCAAAATCACGCACCAGGAAAAGCTAATCTGATGCCCTCGGGGGCGGGGGAGAGGAGGTTGGGGGGGATCAGAAGTAGTCATTAGGAAATGAGTCTGAATTAAGAGTGCCAGCAGTGCGACTGTCTACACCCGGAGAGAAGTTACCGTTTTTGCACAGGAATCCATCACCATCCCCTATGCGGAAATTTTAGAAGAACATGGGATATTGCGTTCATCACCCGGATATGACAGCAGTGTCTTAACGACCCAGAGCGCGTGCGGGTTTACCTGTTACAATCTTGAATGCAGCCACTGCAGTTGCCTTCTTTTAGGTAACATGCTGCTCTATTTGAATATAAGATACTTAGGTCATCTGCACTGGCACTTCCTAAAATCACATTTAATTAGACACAGTTACAATCCATTAGCAAGAATCACAGTCGACCCCAGTCCGAGGGCGGCGGCGGCGGCCGCGGTGGCACCGCAGTCGCGCGCCGGCTCCTCCTGCAGACTCCGGGGAGCCGCCCACCTCCGCAGTGGCCCCCGAGGGCGAGCGCGCCGGGCCGGGGACGCGCTCCGCGCTCTGCGCTCCGCTCCCAGGTCAGGCGCTCGGCGCCCTGAGTCACCGGGCAGGAACGCGGGAGCCCAGCGCCTGTCCGTCCGGAGGCGGAGGCGGAGGCGGCCGCGCCCGCGGGGACACCCCCCGCCCCCGCGTGCCGGGAACCGCAGCCCCGGGGGGCCGCCGCTCACCCACCTGCAGGCTCCAGCTGCGCGATCGCCGCCGAGTACTTGCCGGCCGCCTCGGTGAACTGGCCGCTCTGGAACAGCTCGTTGCCCTGGCTCTTGAGGTCGGCGGGGCCCACGGGGGCGCCGGGCCCCGAGGGCGCGTCGGCCGCCGCGGAGTCCGCGGGGCCGGGGTGCGCGTTGGCGCCGGCGGCCGGAGCCGGGGTCGGGGCCGGGGTCCCGCCGCGCTGCTCCGCGCTGGCCGCCGGCGCCCGGGTCTTCCGCGGCCGCTTGGCGCCGTCGCTCCTGCCCGACAGCTTCTTCTGGATGTTGCCCATGGCGCGCGCGGGCTCGGCGGCCTCTGTGGGGAAGCAGATGCGGGAAGTGAGAATTGGCATCGGCCGGGGCTACTACGGCCGGGCCGCGGGGGAGCCGGCGCGAGGGGCGGGCTCGCGGGGAAGCCGGGCCGGGCGCCGCCCCGCGGGCGGAGCCGAGGGCTCGCGGCGCGGCCCGGGCCCGGCACGTCCGTCCCCCGTGGCCCCGCGGCTTCCTGAGTTGCGGGGCTCCCGACTGAAGCCGCGCGGCGGTGGAACTCCCCAAGCGTCCACAGGCTTGGGGCGCGAAAACCGGCATTTCCAACCTGGCTTCCAGCCGCACCTGTCGGGGCAGATCTTAACGAAGGGATACTTTTCCCTTCCGTGTGCAACTTTGGAATGAATGAATGAATGGAGTTACTCAAACTTGAGGAATCCAATAACTGCACCCTGAATTAGGATGCTCTTTTCTTATTTTAAAGGATGGGGAGAAAAAAAGACCATTCGAAAGAACAATACATTCGAAGCGATTTTCAAAAGTCATTTCTAAAGTGAATTTACCAAGAAGTCACATCAAATAGAAACCTAGTTCTTAAAGGAAGCCTGTAAACTCAGCAAGTTTTCCATTTCAATGCCTTATTCAGACTAAAACTTTCCTTGATTATGATTGAGTTTAGATAGTAGTAGCTTTACTAATTACCGAATTTTTAAATATGAAAATATAAATATTTCATCGATGGGTCTTATCAATATTTAAAGCAATTATTTCCAAGCTCTGAAAATCACTTACATATCAAGACTTCTTTTTTTAAACATTCTAAAGTTGTGTTTTTTTTGTGTTTTTTTTTTTGTTTTTGTTTTTGTTTTTTTGACATGCAGAGTGGACAGTGAGAGAGAGACAGAGAGAAAGGTCTTCCTTTGCCGTTGGTTCACCCTCCAACGGCCACTGTGGCCGGCGCACTGCGCTGATCCGAGGGCAGGAGCCAGGTACTCATCCTGGTCTCCCATGGGGTGCAGGGCCCAAGCACTTGGGCCATCCTCCACTGCACTCCCGGGCCACAGCAGAGAGCTGGCCTGGAAGGGGGGCAACCGGGACAGAATCCAGTGCCCCGACCGGGACTAGAACCCGGTGTGCCGGCGCCGCAAGGCGGAGGATTAGCCTAGTGAGCCACGGCGCCGGCCTTAAAGATTTTTAATAGGTATGTTTTCCACTCTTTTATCAATGGGAAAGCCAAGACTCGCAGCACAAAGGGGAATACATAGCCACAGTTACTGAAGTCAACATCAGGATGATCACCTTAAGGCAGGTTTCAAGGATAAGGGCACATCAACACCGCGCTCTACGGAGCAGTCCAATTTGAGCTTAATTATTAAAGCAAAAAAAAAAAAAATCTTGTACAGAGAAATCCCCAGGTTGGATCCAATAAGATCTTTTGAAAATATTTATTTATTTGAAAGGCAGAGTTAACAGAGACCAAGGGAGTAAGAGAGAGAGAGAGAGAGAGAAAGAGAAAGAAAGAGAGAGAAAGAGAGAGAGAGATCTTCCATCTGTTTGCTTGCTTACTGCAGCCAGGAGCTTCACCCAGAGCCCCCCACGTGGGTGCAGGGGCCCAACACTTGGGTCATCTTCTGCTGTCTTCACAGGTGCATTAGCAGGGAGCTGGATTGGAAGTGGAGGATATTATGGGATGCCAGCGTCATAGGCAGTGTCTTCACCCACATTTTGTTTAGTACTTGTTACTGCAGTCCTCACCCCAAAACCTGATGGAGCCCCGAGTCAGCGGCAGCAGAGGCGATGGACAGCCCGGGATTGCTGGCGTCCCCTTGTGTGTGGTCTCCCCACGGCTGACCAAGACTGTTACTACATCACCGCAGTTGATTTAGAACTTGACCTTTCTGTACATTATCATCAGTGCTCATACCAAGAATTATCCTTCCCACTCTACAAACGAGACACCAGACAAACAAGGAAGAAGCTAAGGAATCTGCCCAGGAGCGGGGAGCTGGAAACCAGCATTCCCCAGGCTTTGAACTGAGTGCCAAGCCGTGTCTTCTTCCTTCCTGGACAGTCTGAGTAGTTCCTGGACAGACAGACGGAGGTCTGACTGTGAAGCCCTGGGAGCCTTGTGGAGTGCTGAGCCTCACCAAGACACACTGATGGGAGAGGTGCATCTAACAGATGAAGAGAGGAAGACTCTTCCTGTAGACCGGGGAATGCCTAGAAAGGAGAGAACACGCCGGAGGGCGTCAGGAAGAAAGGGGTCAACAAGAACAGATTTCAAAGGAAGGAACACTTAGCAGTGGAGTTTGTGGGTTGGGCAGTTTGGGTAGCTGACAGGTGCAAAAATCCTCGACAAATACAAGCGAGCCTGACTCGGCAGCGTTTTAAAAGGATTATACACCAGGACCGAGGGGGATTTACCTTGGGAACGCCAAGGTAGTTCAACATCAGGCGAGCGGTGCCAATGTATCATGTGAAAAGAACAAAGGGAAAAATACCACATGGTGATCAGCTGAAAAAACCCAGTACCCTTTCATGATAAAAACACCTAGAAAACTGGGGACAGAAGTAAAACTCAACATGATAAACTACACGCATGAAAAACCCACAGCGGACACCTCCTTCAGTGGTGACAAGTGAAAGCTTAAAAAAAGACAACACCTTCTATTTTCACCACTGTTGTTATTGCTAGAAGTTAACATCTAATCAGGCCAGAAAATGAAAGAAAAGGAATCTATCCTGGAAAGGATTGTAAGTGCATCATCTTATATATATTAAAAATCCCAAAGAATCTACTTTCAAAAAAGAAAGCCCTAGTAAATCTGATAATTATATTCAGTAAAGTTGCAAAGTACAAGATCAACTCACCAAAAATTAGTTTGTTTCTGGATACTAGCAACAAAAAAATCCAAAAGGGAAATTAAGGAAACAAGTACTTTCATAATAGCATCCAAAAGAATAAAATATCTAGGAATAAGTTTAACCAGAGAGCTAAAAGACTTATATACTGGAAACTGCAAAATATCGCTGAAAAAAGGGAAAGATTTATCTTGGACATGACTGGTGAATGGGAAGACCTAATGTTGCTAAGATATCAATACTACCCAAAGCAATTTACAAACTCAAAATAAGCCCTATCCAAACTGTTTGTGAAAATGGACAAGTGAATCCTCAAATTCAAATGAATTATAAATGGTCCATGATAGTCAAAATGATCTTAAAAAAAAAAAAAAAAAAGGACTCACACATTTTTATTTCAAAATGTCCTGCAAACTACATCATCAAAACAGTGTGCTGATGGCCTAGGACACACATACACCAATGGAACAGAACTGAGTTCAGAATAAATCCATACATCTGTGTCTTTTTTTAAGCTTTCATTTGTCACCACTGAAGGAGGTGTCCGCTGTGGGTTTTTCATGCATGTAGTTTATCATGTGGCAAGGGTGTCAAGTCCACTCAATACAAAAAGAACAGTTTCTTTGACAAATCGTGTAGACAACCAGTATCCCACATGCAAAAAAAAAAAAAAAACCTAAGTCACTCCACCTCACATCATATATATGAATTATTCAAAGTGAATCAATTTAAATATAAGAGCTAAAATCATAAAAATCTTAGAAAACATAGGGATAAATTTTCATGACCTTGGATTTGATAATGGATTCTTATGTATGACAACCAAAGCACAAGGAACAAAAGAAAAAAAAATGTGCTTCTCAAATTAAAATTTTCAGGGGGCTGGCATTGTGGCATAGTGGGTAATGTAGCTGCCTGTGACACTGGTATCCCATATGGGTGCTAGTTCGTGTTCCAGCTGCTCCACGTCTGATCCAGTTCCCTGCTAATGGCCTGGGAAAAGCAGCAGAGGATGGCCCAAGTGTTTGGGCCCCTGCCACCCACGTGGAAGACCCGGATGAAGCTCCTGGTTCCCGGCTTCGGCCTGGCCCAGTCTTGTCCATTACAGCCATCTGGGGAGTGAACCAGCAGATGGAAGATCTCTAGCTCCTCCTCTCCCCTGGAACTCCGCCTTTCAAATAAATAAATAAATCTTCTTTAAAAATTTAGAAATTTTCAAAATGACAGTGAGTTACCTGCATCACCTCTGTTAACACAGAAACAGAAAGTTACAAATGCTAGTGAGGATGTGGAGAAAGGGCAAGAATGTGAATTAGTGCAGCCAACATGGAAAACAGTATAGCACCTTCCTAAAAAAACTAGAAATAGATCTGCCACAGAACCTAGTAACCCACCCCTGGGTACATGTCCAAATGACATGAAGTCATTGTATCAAAGAGATAACTGCTCCACCATGATTACTGCTGTGTTGTTCACCATAGCCAAGACACAGAACCAACAAAGATGTCCATCACCAGATGACTGGATAAGGAAAATGCAATACATACATACAGTGGAATATTATTTAGCCATAAAAAGGAAAAAAAACCTGGGACAGGCACTATGGCATAGAAGGTTAAGCCTCCACCTACAGTGCTGGCATCCCATATTGGTGCCAGTTTGAGTCCTGGTTGCTCCACTTCCGATCCAGCTCTCTGCTATGGCCTGGGAAAGCAGTAGAAGATGGCCCAAGTCCTTGATTCTCTGCACCCATGTGGGAGACCCAGAAGAAGCTCCTGGCTCCGGATCAGCTCAGCTCCAGCTACTGCAGCCATCTTAGGAGTGAACCAGTGGAAGGAAGACCTCTGTCTCTCTCTGCCTCTCTGTAATGCTGCCTTTCAAATAGATAAATAAATCTAGAAAGAGAGAGGGAGGGAGGGAGGGAGGAAGGGAGGAAGTCCTGCCACTTGCAACAAAATGTATGGGATTGGAGGACATCATATTAAGTGAAATAAGCCAGTCACAGAAAGAGAAATACCACATGTTCTCCTTACATGTAGAAGCTAAAAAGAAACAAACAAAGCAAAAGGAAAACACCTCAATGTGAACACAGAGTGGGATTACTAGAGGCTGGGAGGAGGGGTTAGAGGGGGTGTGGGTAACGGGAAATGGAATCAGAGTTAGATCATAGGAATAATTCCTAGTGTT